CCTGAACGGGCATTGCCTGGGAACAGCCCTGGCACTGCCCCCTGAATGGGCATTCCTGGGGAACAGCCCTGGCACTGCCCCCTGAACGGGCATTGCCTGGGGAACAGCCCTGGCACTGCCCTGTAATCTGCTTCATATAAAAGTAATTTCTGCTGTTTCTGATAATAATTCCAGATGTTGCTCCTTTTTTTCCAGGCCACCAGCTTCTCCCTCATGCCCTTTGCAGGTTTTGGGAGAGGGGTTAGTATCCCTGGAGTAGCTCCTGTGTAAGCTGTGTGTAACCAAAGCATGGCAGAGGCTGAGCTCTGTGCTTGCATCGTGCTTTTGGTGCTGTTGGCAGTTTGGGAATAAGAAAATCCAGGGGAATGAATCCTTCCTGGGGCACTGAGCTGTGGGTTTGGATGGGATAACCCCTGGGGAAGCTGCAAACGTTGAGTTATGCTGGAACAGCCTTTGTGGGGTGGCACAAACCAGTGCTCCCAGGGGGGCTTGGGCTTTTCCAGCTGTGCTTTGGGGTCTGCAGTGTCCTGTTCAATATCCATCACCTGCCCAGAGCTCTTGCCCTGAGGATTATTCCAATTCCTTGTACTCAAAAAATGAGTTAAGGATTTTCTGTCCTTTAATTTTACTTCATTTTGAGCTTAAATCCAGCTGTAATTTTGCAACATTGAAATACATAACTCTGGAAATGAATTGATTGAAATTTAAACCCTGAAGAGTCATGCAGGACTTTCAAAGTGAGGTTTATGAACACATTTGTGAAATAATTGGATACTTGATTATCCAATGAAGATTTTTGTTAAAGAAACTCATTTTGGGGCCAGTTTGACATCAGAGTGACAAATCTTTCACTTCCATCTTCCCAATATTTCCATCTTAATCCAACTCCCTCAGTTTCCTTTTGAAAAGGTGCATTTTGGCTTGTCTGTGTGTGAAGTGCAGTCTGAAAAGCTTTTTGAGTTAAAATGCATGTGAAAATCAGCTCCAGGACTGGGAGAGCTGAGACTGTGTTAACTGGAGTCTTTTGTTCCCCCTGTTTCTAGTGGGATGCAGATTTTATGGATCCATTTTCTGCAATGGACAGGATGATGTCAAACATGAGGAACAACATGCTGGAAATGCACAGGAAATTCGTGAGTTCTTTAGAAAATCATTCTGGAATTTATTGCACTGGAGAGTGCCAGTTATTGCAAATATTCCTCAGAAAATAATGCCAAGAAAAATGGGATTACTCTCAAGGAGATAGTAAGAATTAAAGGGGTTTTTGCCCAGATTATATTGTGTTTAAAATTTTTCTTTATTCTTTGAAGATAAAACTGAAGTTGAATGTGGTGCCGGGAGGGTTAATTTTGTGCAGGGCTATTTTCCATAATAAAATCATTAGGAATAACTCTTACCCACAAGTTTAAGCTGCAGCAGTGAGCCTGCCTTGCTTTGTAGGATGACCTGTCCATCCAGCCCGAGGGACACAGCTTCAGCTCCTCCTCCATGGTGACCTATTCCAGAGTGGGGGATGAACCTCCCAGGGTGTTCCAGGCCACGAGCCAGACGCGCACGGCTCCGGGAGGGGTGAGTGATTGGAATANGTGTCCATTTGTGTGTGGGAATTGTGTCCATTTGTGTGGGAATTGTGTTCAGTTGTGTGGGGCAAGTGTCCGTTTGTGTGGGAATTGTGTCCGTTTGTGTGGGAATTGTGTCCGTTTGTGTGGGAATTGTGTCCGTTTGTGTGGGAATTGTGTCCGTTTGTGTGGGAATTGTGTCCATTAGTGTGGGAATTGTGTCCATTAGTGTGGGAATTGTGTCCATTTGTGTGGGAATTGTGTCCATTTGCAGCCTGGCCCTCAGGCAGCCGCACTGCTCACACCCTGCACTTCTGAAAAATTCCTGCTTTGCTCCTCTTTTGGCCTTAATTAGGAATAGCAGGGCTTGTCCAGCTTGGGGAAGTTGAAAAAAGTTTTCCTTGCAAGCCAAGCTTTGGGAATACTGGTGGAGTTCTGTAGCAGTGGAGGAGGGGAAAATAAGAGGAAAAGAAAAAGCCAGTGAGATTCTCCTTCCTCAGCACAGGAAAGGGGTGTGGGAGCAGGATTTGTGGAGAGGGAGGCACAGGTGCAGCAGTGACTGTAGGAGATGGAACTGGCCTGAATTTAGGAGATAATGGGTATTTTTAAGCATGTGGGACAGGGAGAAGGAAAAGTTTGGAACTGCCATCAGGATAAATTTGAGGGATGAGAGGGGATCCAGTGGGACATGAGCAGTTCAGTGAATAGGACTGTGCTAAGCTTTGGAAGATGAAGGGGGAAAACTTAAATTATTTTATTGTCAGGTGTTGGTGGTGAAAACAGTGATAAATAAAATATGGGTAAGTTTATTGTTCTGGCAGGTATTAAACACCAGCTGGAGTGAAGGGTGCAAGGATGGATATTTCTGGAGAGGAAGGGGAATAGGGACAGCCAGGAGGGCAGTGAGGGCAGCTGAGAGAAAACAGATCTCAAACACCCAACCTGAGAGATGGGAATGGAAGAG